TGGATGAACTTGCCATTGGCGGCACGGATGGTGGGTGTGGAGAACGTCAAGTGGAGGCGGATGACTTAACGGAAGGGCAACGAAAAGCTGTGAACGATCTGTAACGATGCTGTTCTCAACAGTCGGTTTATTGATCTGTGACTCGATAGGTATACGTGGGTCAACGTTCTTCCCAGTATGTCGTGCCTCTGTCTTCACGGCCCTTCTGGGTGCGGCAAAACAACAGTCATCCATCGGGCTCATGAATTGGCTGCAGCGAATAAGGATATTGTGGTAGGGGAAGGAAGGGAGGACGGTGTGTTGACTACACCGTGATAGGGAGGAGCTCATGCATGGTCTTGTTCCAAAATTCAGACCCTCCATATTGACGACTCGACCGACCCGAAGTCGCTTATTGGTGGCTTCCAGCAAATTCCAAATAAACCTGGGAGATTCGAATGGCAAATGGGGGTTCTAGCGAAGGCTATGGTAGAGCTTGCATCCTTAATGGGTTAGCTGAGGCCGTGTGTGATCAGGTGGAGGGGTCATGGGTAGTGATCGAAGACATCGACAAGGTGTCCAGTGACGTGTTGGCCATTCTGCCGAGCCCCAACGACGATGAGACTGGCTATCTTGTGCTTGAGCAGAATAGGACTCTGAGAGTCCACCCGGACTTCGTACTCATTGGTAGTAGCGATATAGAGGCGGTCTTACTACGATAGCTCGCGCGCCATTGTGCTCTGAATGACCTGGATGAACTTGACCTCTATTGTTGGTGCGATGTCATCGCGTCAAGTGGTAGATGTCGGAATAGGGTGAGATGCGCCTCGCTGTTATGGTGCTTTGAATCAGTTGTTTTGAAATTGGCTAGGTAGTGTAGTTGGTTATCCCGTGGTTCTACTTCATGACTCGTGGTTCATGACTGATGGCCTCTGTGTGTAGGGACTGTATCATCGCTGGCCAGTAGTCAACCAGGCGTGGGATCTTCCCTTGATTTGCTGTTGGCCTCTAACACTTCCCTCCAAGCATGGACACATGTGATGATGCCTCCGATGACGGGAGAGGAGATGGAGACCTATATTGCTGCCAAGTAGTAGAAGGGAATGTTTTGATGGGGACGAATTGGACCGTATTTTAGGACTTTGGCGTTTCCAGCTTGGGGAGAGGCTATCGCTGAGGCTTATCAACGAGTTAATACAGCCATGGAAGAGCAAGGCGTATCGCGGAAGTTGACCCCGAAGGACTTCAGTCGGGCCATAGAGCGCTTGGGACCACTTTCGGCGAAATGGCCTCATCGTTGGCCATTGGCTGAGAATACCAGGCTGCGTATTGCGAGAGAGCTTTATGCGGTTTGGGTGGCACACGTGTTCGACCAGAAGGCTCGAGAGGAAGTGTATGGCGCGCTCCGCGAGGTAGTTCTCATGAAGTCAGTTCACGTTTATGATTGCGATTGTTGGTATTCGTTCCGCTCTGTGTGCGATGATATCGCATATGTTCGTACTGTTTTCGCTCATAGTATTTTTCGGCGAGACGCTAGACTAACATTTTTGTATGAACAGCTCGATCAGGCGCTCTCACTTCCCTCGGGTTCTGCTGCATCGGATAGCGCTCCTGAGGTGTCCCTCGATCGCTCGAATGTATCCATCGGCACTGACGTTGAGCCGCTGGTGAGGAGAATTACGGAGAGCGAAGACCGTGGAAGTTCAGTTTTGGAAGAATATTCTCTCACAAGTGTAGGCTTTGGGCAGGCGTCTGGTTCGACTCCAGAGCTCATTCTGGCAGGTCCATCGGAGATTGCTGGAGTTCCTCGCAAAATGTGTTGTGTACAACGAGCCAGCGTTGTTGGTGGGTGACACTGGGTGCGGTAAAACTACGACTGTTCAATGCCTTGCACGCATGCTCAATCGAGAGCTGATGGTTTACAACTTCTCCGACCAGAGTGAAGCGCAGGAACTGATTGGAGGGCTTAAGCCGCTGCCACTCGATGCGAACGACTTAATCAAGCGTTGGCACGTTCTGATGGACAAGACATTTTCGAAGAAGTCTAACGCGGCTTTGGCGGCTCACGTTGATAAAGTAGCACAGAAGAAGGGCGGAGCGAAGGCCCTCGCGATTGTATTGGAAACATGCAAGAAGGCGATAGCGGCTGGTAGGGAGGAAGAGGAATGGAATAAACTCGCGCAGGACTGTAAGGCGGCGACTGAGACTAAGGTACTACATGGCAGAGATCGTTGAAACTGAGTTATTGGAGTTTCGCTCGGGATTTGAAAAACACTAGTAGAAAACATATACCGCATTTCACTTGGCGGAAAACAAGTCTGTTATCGGACGCGGGAAATACGCGTGTTAGGAGTATTACACCACTTCACGTTAAACGGGGTTGTATCGGAGTGCTGCTATGTGTTGTAGGTTTCTCTGAGATTCGAGTTTGTCGAGGGTCAGCTGCTCACTGCCCTACGCACTGGCGCTTGGCTTGTCCTGGATGAGATCAACTTGGCGCCGGGAGATGTTCTCCAGCGCATTGCGGGCCTCTTGGAACAAGGAGCGAGCACGGCAGAGAATCCAAAGTACTTTGATGTTCACGAGGCAGGCGGAGCTGGTGTGAGGATCCCTATCCATCCGGACTTCCGGTTGTTCGCCTGTATGAACCCCAGTCATCTTGGGCCGGCGAAGAAGCCGCTTCCTGCTGGTATCCGAGCACGGTTCTGTGAGTACTACGTGGACGAGGTGGTGGAGGAGGCCGATCTGATCCAACTGGTTACTGATGGTTTGTCGAAGCACTTGCCCAACCCTCCGAGCGAGGCGGTGGTTAGCGTCTATAAGAAGGTCCGGGAGATGGCTCGAGATGGCCACTTGAGCGACGGTCAAGGCGGGAAGCCAGTGTTCTCATTGAGGTCCCTAGCGAGAGCGCTGAGATTCGCTAGGACCTTCGTGAAAAGTCCACGGTATCGGCATCATGATGGAGGGATGGAAGCTGTAGTAGTCGGGTATGGATCGCGCGAACAAGTGGTGATTTGTTCGATTGAGCTGTGTCTTGAGGCAAGGATTCGGTAGTCGTATTTCTGTTGTAATGATCACGTGATGTGGCGATATTACACTGCAAGTCGATGATGAATTTGAGAGATTTATGGTAGGTTCGGGAAGGCCTAGCGGTTACCTTCGCTGGAGTCCTGTCGGAGTCGTCCGAGGCGAAAGTGATGGAGGAGATAAATCGATCCTTGCCGGGACCGTCCAAAGTCCCGCGCAGGATCGGCCAGGCTGCCGGCTCATTGGACGTAGTCGTAGAGAAAGAGGCTGTGTGCATCGAGGGTTACTGGATCGCAAGGGGTCCTGTGGAGATCGACGTTCAGAGGCTGCTGAGAGACTTCTGTGTGACCGAATCGGCCCGCCGCAACTTGAGGAAAATATTGCGATGCGTATCTGGAGGTGGGTCATACTGCATGTGATGGTGTTTGAATCTGAGAATATGATTTTTTCAGGCAAAGTCGTCCGGCCGCCCATCTTGCTTGAGGGGCCTACTGGTGCAGGGAAGACGTCTTTGGTGAAGTTCGTCGCTGCTATGACGGGTCATGGCTGTGTGAGAATAAACAACCATGAGCACACTGACTTGCAGGAGTACATCGGGCAGCACGTTTATGATCATGGAGTGCTCAAGTTTGAGGAGGGGCCCCTTGTGAAGGCTTGCCGTGAGTTTGTGCCTCTACTACTACTACGGTCGTCTCAGTGTGTTCTTTCAGGCGCGGGAGCGTGGGTCGTGCTGGATGAGCTCAACCTTGCTCCGAGTGAGGTGCTAGAGGGAATCAACAGGTTACTTGATGATAATCGCGAGATCCACATTGCGGAGACTAACACAACCGTTGTCCCCGATCCCGACTTTGTCGTATTCGCCACGCAGAATCCTGCTGGGGGAGACTATGGAGGGAGGAAGCAGCTGTCGAGGGCTCTCAGGAACCGTTTCACGACGATGTGGATCGACTCGCTATCTTCTGATGAGCTTCGAGCTATATTGCAGCACAAGTGCCAACTGGCTCCTTCGATCGCGGCAGCTATGGTGAAGGTGTATGAGGACCTGAGAGCCCATCGGAATGTTGACGCTCTCCTTGCTGGAGGGGGAACGGATCTGATCACGATCAGGGACATACTGCGTTGGGCTCACAGGAAGCCTGGCACCATGGAAGAGTGTGGCCTTGAGGGTTGGTGCCTGCTGGGCGAGAGGTTGCGTCATGAAGACCAGCGTAGTGAGGTGGCTAAGGCTATTGCGAAGCACTGCAAGACTTACGGCGTGACGGCTGCCTCTTACTTGGAGACCAACTATCGGGAAGATCTCTATGTTCTGGAAATACAGAAAAGTGGTGGTGGCTCGGGACTAGTGTGGACGGAGACTATGTGCCGCATGGTGGCTCTGGTCGGCCGCTGTGCGAGGAACGGGGAGTCGGCGCTTCTGGTGGGCGAGACCGGCACGGGAAAGACGACGGTCGTGCAAACAGTTGCAGACTTCCGGCGCATCAAGTTGGAGATCGTGAACTGCCATCAGCACACGGAGCCTGCAGACTTCCTTGGCGCGATGAGGCCGACGGCTGGCAAGAAGGACGTTCGAGGACTGATCAAAGCCAAGGCCAAACGGATGTGTGATCTGGTCGGCCGAGATGTCGATGAGGAGCAGTCCGTCGCTGTAGTGCGAGAGATTGTGAACGACTATGAGCTCGAGAGTGATGAGAATAGTGAAGATCCGCCCAGTCCGAAGAGAGCTCGGGTGAGGTCTGAGTTAAGAGCTCTGTGGAGGGAAATAGCAGACTTGCGAGCTGATGTGAATCACGATCGGAGCATAGATCACGACTTGTTCGCCTGGCAAGACGGTCCTGTAACAAGAGCTATGCGCGGCGACGGTCACTGGGTGTTGCTCGATGAGGCCTCCTTAGCCACTGATGCTGTTCTGGAGCGACTAAACTCGGTTCTGGAGGCAGGTGAAAGGAGTGTGATGCTTGCTGAGAAGCCCGGTGGAGAAGTTGTTGTCGGCGGGGATAAGTTCAGTTTGATGATGACTATGAATCCTGGTGGGGACTTTGGCAAGAGAGAGCTCAGTCCGGCGCTGAGGTCGCGTATGACTGAGATCTGGGTCAAGGCTCTCGACTATGCCGATGAGAATGACGATTCTGAGGCCAGCAGGCTCATACGGAAGCTCCTGAGCGACGAGGCGAAGTCACTGATGCCGTCCATTCGTCGAGCTGTCGCGTGGGTGGTTAAGAACATCCCAGCACAGATTCTACCGATGTCGATCCGTAATGTGGGTCTGTGGGTGAGCGCCTGTAATGAACTAACTTGCATGAGTCTGGGCGAGCGCTACTTACATGGCGGCACTATGACCATTGTTGATGCCTTGATGGACGCTCCTGAGCTGCAGATGGAGGCTATGAGGATGCTCGAGACACAGGCCCCACGGGACACTGACTTGAGCAAGTTCGGTCAAGACGGTTACCAGTGGGTTCGGGACGCAGTACGACGGGGCGATTCTGGTGAGTGTCTTTGCCGTGGTTGTTTTTTGCATGGCTCTTCCGATCAGATGGCCTGGGCCCTTTCTCTATGCCGGCTCCTACTACGGGCGCTGCCGCAGCACCCATCCCTTTCGACTTCGCCGCTCCTACAACTGCTCTCAACTTGGGACGTATTTTACGAGGTTTGACTGTTGGTAAGGGGATGGCAGTGTTGCTTGAGGGACCGCCGGGGACTGGTAAATCCTCGATCATCGCGGCACTGGCGGCTCGTTGTGGGAGGGAGCTTGTAAGGATCAATATTTCTGAGCAAACGGAAATAGCTGATTTGGTTGGACAGTTCCTCCCCGCGGCTGGCCAGGGCGGCCACGAGGTGAGTATAGACTTTATTGTCACCCTTTAGGGCATATACAGTGTGCTCTTAGGTGTCATTCGCATGGTCAGACGGCGTTCTGCTGTCCGCATTGAGAAGAGACAATTGCTGGGTTTTGCTCGACGAGCTCAACCTGGCTCCTCAGCCTGTGTTGGAGGGGCTCAACTCCCTACTTGACCATCGTCGAGAGCTCGTTGTCCCCGAGACTGGCGAGCGAGTCAGAGCTAAGGCCGGCAGCTTCCAGCTTTTCGCGACGCAGAATCGTATGGTTGACGGTGGCGGACGAAAAGGTCTCCCCAAATCCTTTCTTAACCGCTTTGTGAAAATCGCGGTATCTGAGCTCTCCTCAAAGGACTCGGAGTCGATCTGCAAGAGGCTCTTCGGTGACGACATGTGGAACTCGGTCTGTGAAGGAGTTGTCGAATCTGTCCGGATCGCTGGAGATATGCGGTTCAAGGGCGGCAGTGGATGGGAGTGGAACCTCAGAGATGTAGGTTACGTCCTTGGTCTTGCTCAATAGACATGCAGCTACTTCCAGGTGCTTCGAGTATCATCCTCGGTGCAGCGACGAGCCATAGGGCATCTATCTCCAGCATTACAGTGCTATCTGTTATTAGCATCCAGGCTGCAAACCCAAGAAGACCGCGAGGCTTTACGTCCTAGCGTGTGGGAGGCTTCGTCGAACCAGCAATGGGCAGGAGAGTGTGATGTTGAGGATGTCGATGTGGGTCCGATGCTCGTCAGAGTGGCGGAGGCTTTCGCGAACTCGAGAGTTGCCGATTTCGTGGCGAGTGACGCTGACATACTGCAGTGTCAGTCGTTGGGGCTAAGTGCTGGTTGTGCTGCTGTTCTCAACAATTGGCCAACTCTATTGATTGGTGACGGTGGCAGTGGGAGGAGACGAATGGTAGAGATCCTCGCTGCTGTCGCTGGTGTCAAGCTCGTGAGCATCAGGATGCATGCTCAAATGGACGCTAATGACCTGGTTGGTCAGTTCGTACAGAAGCCTGGTGGAGGGTTTCAGTGGGTTGACTCGCCTCTGGTCTGTGCGCTGAAGTCAGGCGATTGGGTTCTCTTCAACTCGGTAGAGCAATGCCCCTCAGCGGTCGTTGATCGTCTCAATGCTTTGCTCGAGGTCGGCGGTAAACTGCAAGTGCCAGAACGAGGGCGAGCAAACCCGGAAGACCTGACAGTCACGCCCAATCCTGCTTGTCGTCTCTTCTTCACGGCGGATGCTCGTCATGCTCACATGGTGTCGAATCCACTGCGGAATAGATGTGTCGAGATATTCGTAGGCAGCTGTGCTCAGGGTGGTGACTTGGAGAGGGTCTGCATGGCTGCGTCTGGAGGCTTAGTCGAGAGCCTCGCCAGTGTTGAAGACATGCAAGGTAGCCAGCTGCAAGCGATCGCTCGTGAAGCGAGTAGAGCTGTAGCCCTGGGGGACCACTTGCGGGTGGGAGAGTCCGACCTCCGTCTACTCAAGCCATCGTTCTGCGGGTACTCTCTCGTGGCCAAGACCATAAGCGCTGCTTGTATGGTAGCAGAGGAGATCTCGGACGACCCTGTTGGTCAGTCCTTTGCTTATCAGTGGATGCTTGAAGGCACTGTTGGCACACCCTGGGACGTCAAGGCGAGGATTGAGAATTTACCTTCGAGCTTGAACGTGGCGCCTGAGGTTGTGAGAAGCATGGCCGTGCTCTCGGCTACTGATAAAAGATGGGTGGCCAAAACTTATCTACGGTTGCCGGCCAAGCAGGGTACGTTACTCTATCAGGTTGGTCATCCCGAGGAAGCCGACGACTTTACCTTGCTGAGCGGGAGACGACAGTTGCTGATTAAGACGGTGAGAGACAACATCGTCGAGCTACCAAGAGACCCTCGGGTCATGCCTCACTTCTGTCGGCTATTGATGGTGTTGGACTCCTACGACCAACTGAGCGCACAGGCAGAGACAAGTATTCTGATATTCCTGCAGGAGCTTCTGGACGCCCGTGAGGTTCAGTCGTCTCGGGCTAGTCGGCCGCCTGCTGCCGCTGTGGCCTGCCCGGCTCATCTACCCATGTACGCGATCGCCAGTGAGTCCACGTTGGAGCTTGTTCTGGAG